CCTCTATCTCTTCTCTCTATCTCCCCTCTCTCTCCCTCCCTCTCTCTCTTTCTCTCTCTTTCTCTCTACCACTTTCTTTCTATCACTTCTACCTCCCTCTCTCTCCCACCTATCTTCTTCTTGACACCATTTTCCGTCAGTTGGTCGGGTTGAGGTCCAGACGCATCATGTCGGTGGGCTTTAGCGTACTGGATGGGCTGGCGGTCCAGTTGAATTTTGTTGGTGGGCTGGAGGGTAGCTATATTATATTGAAAAGATAGATTTGGTTGATGAGCCGTAGAATAAGAACATCCGTGAAAGTAACAAGAACTGCCTAGACCACGCAGTAGAAGACCTGCACAGAGCCATACAGCACCGACCCAACAGCACAGACCCACACGGCACAGACCCACACAGCACAGACCCACACAGGACATACCCACACAGCACAAACCCACACAGCACAGACCCACACTGCACAGACCCACACAGCACACACCACACAGCACACACCACACAGCACAAGTTGTTCGGGTCCGGGTTTTTGAGATAACCGACTAACTGGTTTGGTGAATATGTAATATAACAGATTCACTTCCCGGATACCTGGCCACAAACACACTACTTTCTTTCTGGGGGAACGGAGGTACATTTGGGCGGCACATAGATTGGGTGACGCATAGATATGGACACCACATAGATTTGGGCAACAGGTGTGATGACGGGGCACTTAAAGTCAAGTGATTTGGAATACGACTTACGACTCCCGAGATTGATACAAGGCTCCGGATGACGCCAGCAAAATGACGCAACCCACTATTAGAAAGGGGAGAAAACATTTCAATGTGGTTCAAACCCTTAGGGTCTGAAAAAAAACAACAACAACAACACATTTCTGAAAGGAGAATCGAACTGATGGGTCAGGGGTTAGATCAACCATATCGAACTGATGGGTCAGGGGTTAGATCAACCATATCGAACTGATGGGTCAGGGGTTAGATGAACCATATCGAACTGATGGTTTGGGGTTAGATGAACCATATCGAACTGATGGTTTGGGGTTAGATGAACCATATCGAACTGATGGTTTGGGGTTAGATGAACCATATCGAACTGATGGTTTGGGGTTAGATGAACCATATCGAACTGATGGTTTGGGGTTAGATGAACCATATCGAACTGATGGTTTGGGGTTAGATGAACCATATCGAACTGATGGGTCAGGGGTTAGATGAACCATATCGAACTGATGGTTTGGGGTTAGATGAACCATATCGAACTGATGGGTCAGGGGTTAGATCAACCATATCGAACTGATGGGTCAGGGGTTAGATGAACCATATCGAACTGATGGGTTGGGGTTAGATCGACCACCCCGGGCAATCAACCATCGACAACCGACGACGAATATTTTATATTACAGATTGACAGACGAGCAAACGTGGCCTTTACTTTGATGATTTGTGTATGTGTGCGTGTGGCCAGGGGGGTGGGAGAGAACTGTTATTACACCTACGTCGACTCTTTAACCCCCTTTATAAGATTGTGGCTTTGGTTCTTTCCGGCTCGTCTGTCAGAAGAACGTGACGTCAGCACTATCGCACCGATCAATGCATGGTTTAATCCAGCCAACAGACAGCGGCGTTGTTCCTTATTGTTTTACGGTTGGAAGTTAATCTGTATCGATTAAAGGGCCAATAAAAACATGGATTTATCTTTTGACCATTGAAAGTAAAAGAAAACAAAATATTTTTTTAAAAAAATGCATTTATTGATTTATTTTAATTACAAACTTTGTCTGAAACTGTCTTTCCCCAACTGAAACTTCTTCTGGAACTGTCTTTCCCCAACTGAAACTTCGTCTGAAACTGTCTGTCCCCAACTGAAACTTCGTCTGAAACTGTCTTTCCCCAACTGAAACTTCGTCTGAAACTGTCTTTCCCCAACTGAAACTTCTTCTGAAACTGTCTTTCCCCAACCGAAACTTCGTCTGAAACTGTCTTTCCCCAACTAAAACTTCGTCTGAAACTGTTTTTCCCCAACTGAAACTTCTTCTGGAACTGTCTTTCCCCAACTGAAACTTCGTCCGAAACTGTCTTTCCCCAACTGAAACTTTGTCTGAAACTGTCTTTCTCCAACTGAAACTTTGTCTGAAACTGTCTTTCCCCAACTGAAACTTCGTCTGAAACTGTCTTTCCCCAACTCAAACTTTGTCTGAAACTGTCTTTCCACAACTAAAACCTCGCCTAAAACTCCTTCTCCAACTGAAACTTCGTCTGAAACTGTCTTTCCCAATTGAAATTGTCTTCCCCCAACTGTTCTGCACAAACAGTCCAGTAGCTAACGTCCGGTAAAAAAAGAGTCGCCTGTCATATACCGACATGCCCGTACCAATGTACTATTCTGTAGATCTAGCGCGTTCACTACGTGACAAGTATGGCGCCCTCTCAAGCTACTCCCAATGGCCCTGTGGGGTTTTAGCGGAAAAGCTTTTCAACAGCTGGAATATTTATGAAGATCTTATGAAACAAAATGAAACGAAAATTGTCACAGTGTGTCTTCCCCCCCCCCCCCCCCCCCCCCCCCCCCAGCCCTCCTGACGCAATCCGCCATTGCTTGCCTAGAAGACTTGTCACAAGACACTAGTGGATATAAAGTTACAGAAGCGGTGCCCCAGTTGATAGACACACACATATACGCATGGATGAGTATCATATCAATAAACTAATAGATAAGTCAGAAATTAAAACATTGTACAAACATTATTTTGGATTTCTTTATGGTTACCGGAAATTTGATCGAAAGAAATTTCGTCGACGGTAAATTTATCGACGGTAATTTGATCGAATGGAAATTTGGTCGAATCAATTTTTCAGTTCACACGTTAAAATTTTCGCCAAATTTCTTTTTGAACGCACAATACTATGTAGTAAAACAAAATAATGCGTTAAAAATAAAATTTGAAGCACAATTTTAACGTAAAAACTGAAAAATTGATTCGACCAAATTTCTATTCGATCAAATTACCGTTGATCAATTTACCGTCGACGAAATTTCTTTCGATCAAATTTCCGGATACGTTTCTTTCTATTAGAACAGTCGGAGGAGCTCACCTCAACTCTTACAAGATTGGCGCACAAATTATATTTGATATCTTTCGGTCCATTCTATCATTGACGAGATTGGCGTACAGCTGATATTTGATATCTTTCGGTCCAATGCCACATTGACAAGATTGATGCCAGTGATGGTTTGTATGGATAGTGTTATCAGTAAACTCCGACCACAATGCAACGTCCTTTGAATCCTTGCTATGTGTCCGGGAGATCAGAGGCGAGAATCAAATCACAGTCCCTCTGGCCCAGCGCGCTTAATCTCTGTGCAGTCTTTTACCACCATTCAATCTGTAATAATCCTGTTTATTGGTTGCATGCGTGACAATGTCCATTATTATGAATAACTTATAGAATTGAAAGTGTGATTATACAATACATAACATAAAGCACAGGCACACACATATTTAATCCCAAGAGAGAATCGAACCACGCCCCCCACCCCCCCTCCCCACCCTTTGAGATATAAATGTTAATTACAGACTAAATATCACTGAATGGGAGTAAGAGATTACTCCCATTCAGTGATATTTAGTATGTAATTAACATTTATATGGGCTTACAAATCAAATAAAGGCTAATAAAAAGTTGCACTTTGACTTTTTTTTCAGTAAACTTTTTTTTTTCCAGTTTCCTGTAACCTTTTTTTCCCCTGTAACCTTTTTTTCCCCTGTAACCTTTTTTTCCCCTGTAACCTTTTTTTCCCCTGTAACCTTTTTTTCCCCTGTAACCTTTTTTTCCCCTGTAACCTTTTTTTCCCCTGTAACCTTTTTTTCCCCTTTAAACTTATTTCCGTGACTTTTTTCCTGTGACTTTTTTCCTGTGACTTTTTTCCTGTGACTTTTTTCCTGTGCATTTTTTCCTGTGACTTTTTTCCTGTGCATTTTTTCCTGTGAATTTTTTCCTGTGACTTTTTTCCTGTGACTTTTTTCCTGTGACTTTTTTCCTGTGCATTTTTTCCTGTGACCTTTTTATTTGGAACTTTTTTCCTGTGACTTTTTTCCTGTGACTTTTTTCCTGTGCATTTTTTCCTGTGACTTTTTTATTTGGAACTTTTTTCCTGTGACTTTTTTCCTGTGCATTTTTTCCTGTGACTTTTTTCCTGTGACTTTTTTCCTGACTTTTTTTTCCCTAATGACTTTTTTTTTCGTGAACATTTTTTCCTGTGACTTTTTTCCTGTGACTTTTTTTTCCCTAATGACTTTTTTTTTCGTTTTTTTCTTTTTTTTTTTTTCTTTTTTTTTTTTTTTCCTTTTTTTTTTTTTTTTTCTGTATCTTTTTTTTTGTGTCTTTTTTTCCTTTTCCTTTTCCCCCCCCCCCCCCACTCCCTATGCATATAATGCAACCTGGGGAACTATAACATCAACAGCATTAACTTTCCTGCAGTTTAATTCCCCACCCCCCTCCCATAAATCTTGCAGATGGCGTTGGGACGTAATGAATGTCTTAGAGTCCTAATTTGCAGGTGACGCCCCTAACCTGCAGTTGGCGCCCCTAATCTGCAGGTGGTGCCATGAACATAAATACATTTCAAAGTGACTTATGTTATCCCCCCCTCAAAAAAAAAAAAAAAGAGAGAGAGAGAGAGAGAGAGAGAAAAGAGACAAAATCTGGAGATCTTGCACCACCTAGAACAAAAATGTATGCAACCGTGGTTGTCGAACCTGAAGGGAATCCTTGAATATAGGGCTCTTTTAAAGAAATACGTTTACTTTAAAAAAAAATATCTGAATTTGACCNCCCCCCCCCCCCCCCAAACCACTCGGTCTTGGTTGAATACCGTCGTTCGGGTGTCTGTAGGTGAACTGAGACAGAATATCATAGATTCCTCCCCGGCCTGCCTACCCACCCCAGCCCCGCTTTTTGACCATTACAAGTGGAGACGGCACGTCCTGGGTTCACTCGTGCGTGACCATCGTTTAAAATAGACTTCCTGTCTCAGCCTTGCGGGAGTTCCCAGTAGACTTTCGTTGGGTAATAGTCTTGTGACAAGGGGGCGAACATTATTCTATGTAGATATACTGGCCAGTGGAAGGAAGAAACATGACATTTTGAATAAAGAGCGATCCATATTGGATATTGAACATGTCACATTTGTAACAGTTGAAGGTCTTCTGTAAATATATATTATATGGTGAATATGTAGTTTGTGTAATAAAATGGCATTAGATTTCGGATGAGAAAGTTATGATAGAGAACATTGTGTCCTGAGCTCAGAAAAGATCCGAGCCGGACATTAATTAAGCTGAACCACCGACCCGACTTGAAGAAAATACAAAAAAAAAATGGAGGAGGACATTTTCTCTACTTCATTGGAATTAAGGAATGAGCTCAAGTAAGTCACTAAACATTAGTCCGTAGTATTGGATCCAATATGGCTTACAAATAAACATTACCCTGTAGGCTTAGATCAAACTGACTCATAGATAAACATTACCCTGTAGGCTTAGATTAAAGTGACTCATAGATAAACATTGTAGACTGAGCTCAAAATGACTTTTAGATAAACATTAGCCTGGGGTCTTAGTTCAAAGTGGCTTTTAGATAAACATTAGCCTGGTGTCTTAGATCAAAGTGACTTTTAGATAAGCATTAGCCTGGGGTCTTAGTTCAAAGTGACTTTTAGATAAGCATTAGCTTGGGGGTCTTAGTTCAAAGTAACTTTTAGATAAGCATTAGCCTGGGGGTCTTAGTTCAAAGTGACTTTTAGATAAACATTAGCCTGGGGGTCTTAGTTCAAAGTGACTTTTAGATAAACATTAGCATGGGGGTCTTAGTTCAAAGTGACTTTTAGATAAGCATTAGCCTGGGGTCTTAGTTCAAAGTGACTTTTAGATAAGCATTAGCCTGGGGTCTTAGTTCAAAGTGACTTTTATATAAGCATTATCCTGGGGGTCTTAGTTCAAAGTGACTTTTAGATAAACATTAGCCTGGGGGTCTTAGTTCAAAGTTACTTTTAGATAAACATTAGCCTGGTGTCTTAGATCAAAGTGACTTTTAGATAAACATTAGCCTGGGTGTCTTAGTTCAAAGTGACTTTTAGATAAAGCTTAGCCTGGGGGTCTTAGTTCAAAGTGACTTTTAGATAAACATTAGCATGGGGGTCTTAGTTCAAAGTGACTTTTAGATAAGCATTAGCCTGGGTCTTAGTTCAAAGTGACTTTTAGATAAGCATTAGCCTGGGGTCTTAGTTCAAAGTGACTTTTAGATAAGCATTATCCTGGGGGTCTTAGTTCAAAGTGACTTTTAGATAAACATTAGCCTGGGGGTCTTAGTTCAAAGTGACTTTTAGATAAACATTAGCCTGGTGTCTTAGATCAAAGTGACTTTTAGATAAACATTAGCCTGGGTGTCTTAGTTCAAAGTGACTTTTAGATAAACATTAGCCTGGGGGTCTTAGATCAAAGTGACTTTTAGATAAACATTAGCCTGGTGTCTTAGTTCAAAGTGACTTTTAGATAAACATTAGCCTGGGGGTCTTAGTTCAAAGTGACTTTTAGATAAACATTAGCCTGGGGTCTTAGATCAAAGTGACTTTTAGATAAACATTAGCCTGGGGGTCTTAGTTCAAAGTGACTTTTAGATAAGCATTAGCCTGGGGGTCTTAGTTCAAAGTGGCTTTTAGATAAGCATTAGCCTGGGGTCTTAGTTCAAAGTGACTTTTAGATAAGCATTAGCCTGGGGTCTTAGTGCAAAGTGACTTTTAGATAAGCATTAGCCTGGGGTCTTAGTTCAAAGTGAGTTTTAGATAAGCATTAGCCTGGGGGTCTTAGTTCAAAGTGACTTTTAGATAAGCATTAGCCTGGGGGTCTTAGTTCAAAATGACTTTTAGATAAACATTAGCCTGGTGTCTTAGATCAAAGTGACTTTTAGATAAACATTAGCCTGGGGTCTTAGTTCAAAGTGGCTTTTAGATAAACATTAGCCTGGTGTCTTAGATCAAAGTGACTTTTAGATAAACATTAGCCTGGTGTCTTAGTTCAAAGTGACTTTTAGATAAGCATTAGCGTGGGGTCTTAGTTCAAAGTGACTTTTAGATAAGCATTAGCTTGGGGGTCTTAGTTCAAAGTAACTTTTAGATAAGCATTAGCCTGGGGGTCTTAGTTCAAAGTGAATTTTAGATAAACATTAGCCTGGGGGTCTTAGTTCAAAGTGACTTTTAGATAAACATTAGCCTGGGGTCTTAGTTCAAAGTGGCTTTTAGATAAACATTAGCCTGGTGTCTTAGATCAAAGTGACTTTTAGATAAACATTAGCCTGGGGGTCTTAGTTCAAAGTGGCTTTTAGATAAACATTAGCCTGGTGTCTTAGATCAAAGTGACTTTTAGATAAACATCGGAAAAAAAGATGTAGGTGAAGACATCTTATAAACATCGGGATGTCAGCGAAGACACAAGTGGCTTGTAGGTAAACATCAGCATGCACGTGAAGACATATGGCTTATAGATAAACATTTAATCCAGTAACTGAATTATAAAGTTATTAAGTTGCCTGTAAGTATAGATATTTGTGTGTTTGATAGCCAGTGTGATTCGATTAACAACTGAAAGATTACAACGGCAGTAGATTTAAAAAAAGAATTATTTAAAAAAAAAATGTTTCTACAAATATCTACAGCGGGATAAATGTGTTTAAATTTGATTTAATGTGTTTAAATTTGATTTAATGTGTTTAAATTTGATAAAGTTAATCAAGCTAACTTCAACGAGTGACTCGCATATTAACACGCGACTCCAACAACACAATGACTTCACCTCACTGTGAGATAGACATCATTTGTAATGTGGCCCCCATATTACGCGCCATCAGGTTTTTAAAAAAAAATATAAAGAAATAATTAAATGTGTAGCACCATATTGTGTATTTTTAAAGCACAGCTAGCGCGCCGAGATTCGGCATTCCTGGTTAGTCAGTGCGCCCAAAGTCTACTGCCACGTTCGTTATTCCAATGTTTCACCGACGTGCTAACATGGCCTATCGCATGTCTTTTCAAAGGCATTGATCCAAGCTATCGATATAGGCTTTTATGTTTTCGAACGTTTATTAGGGAAAGTGGTAAATCCGCTCCGTTCTTGTAACGGCGCGATTGGTGCCATCAGCTACATACCCGTAAGGAGATCTTTAGTGTGCAAATAGCAAATGATTGGGGTATAAAAACTAAGCGGGACTATAACGTTGCGGTGAATTACACTGCTTTCAAAATTCATTGTAGGTTATATTGAATTGTGGATGGACTTCTAAGGTGCATGCAATTCTAATGTGCATACACTACTAAGCTGCATACAGTGCTAAGGTGCACACAATTCTAATGTACAAACAATGCTAATGTACACACAATTCTCATGCGCATACAATTCTAAGGTGCATACAATTCTAAGGTGCATACAATTCTAAGGTGCATGCAATTCTAAGGTGCATAAATTCTAAGGTGCATACAATTCTAAGGTGCATACAATTCTAAGGTGCATGCAATTCTAAGGTGCATGCAATTCTAAGGTGCATACAATTCTAATGTGCATATACAATGCTAATGTGCATACAATTCTAATGTGCATATTTAATTTTACACTTTGTGAAAATAGACCTTTATATTAACAACCAACACGCCAACTCACAAACACGCCTCTGAGGAGACAAACACGCCTCTGAGGCGACAAACACGCATCTCAGGAGACAAACATGGCTCTCAGGAGACTAACACGCCTCTGAGGCGACAAACACGCATCTCAGGAGACAAACACGGCTCTCAGGAGACTAACACGCCTCTCAGGAGACAAACACGGCTCTCAGGAGACAAACACGGCTCTCAGGAGACAAACACGGCTCTCATGAAATAAACACGCCACTCTAGCATCCGTCATATCCTCCTTGTACAAAATAGAGCTATCATCTCTCTGGACTCCGTTTGCCTCCTGTCGGGCGGGGGCGAGATGTGGGGGCAGGGGGAGGGGGCTGTCATATTGTGAAAACAAAAGGGAATTTGCAATAGAGAGATTGGGCATTAGGATGTTATCCATATGAAAAAGGTTACATTTGAGTTGCATCCATTTCCCCATCTAAGCACTCACTCACACACACACACTCAAACGTACGCACACTTACACGCACACACACACTCACACACGCTCTTAAAGTTTTTTTTGGTAATTATAATTTAGCAAATTTTAGACTTGTACTGGCCGTTGACGACACAGCATATTTTAGACTTTTAAGTCATTGACTGTCTGTGGGTCAAACTGTTTATATGTAATGCTGCTATACTTGCTGTTTATACTGGTGTTCTTGCTGTTTCATCGATGCCATGTCTAGACTTGTGCCTGTTCTTTTTGTCATAACCCCCCCCCCTTTCCCGGAATGTCTCTAGCTTTTGGCGCTGCTACCTTGCTGTTTCCCGTGCTGAGGACATTAATGCACCTGTGTTATGCTGCACATGCTGTTGTCGGCACTGAGGACATTGATGCACCTGTGTTATGCTGCACATGCTGTTGTCGGCACTGAGGACATTAATGCACCTGTGTTATGTTGCACATGCTGTTGTCGGCACTGAGGACATTAATGCACCTGTGTTATGTTGCACATGCTGTTGTCGGTACTGTCTGCATGTCATGTATTCTTATTTTGCCGTGCTGTTTTTTTTTGGTTGTTTCTTTCAACATGTCTCACCAGGCCTGTGCGAAGCTTGCCTCAGTTATGAATGGCAGAGTTAACGGTAACGTCTCCTTCTCCCCCCCCCCCCCCCCCTCGCATGTTCACAAATTTTTTTTTCTGTTTAAAATTTGAAATCATAAACATAAAATAGAACCTTTATATAACTCACTCAAATTAAAGAGCACGTCAACACATTTAGCAGTTTTATTATTTTTTGTGTGTGTGTGTAACTAACATAACTTACTAAAGTGTTAAGAAATTAAAGATCAGTTAGACGGCTTGTTTATCGAAAAGGGTTGCAAAGTGTTTCGTTAAAATTTGTGCATTCATCTACACCAGCGTTTCCCAAACTTTTAAGTTTCACGGACCGGTGGACACGTTTCGAAACTGCACCCAGGGAACCGGTGCCAGATTTATTAATCACATATCCTTTCTATTTAAACATCAATATTCATGCTCTCTGGACCGGTAACGTAAGGCTTGCGGACCGGTGCCGGTCCACTGACCACCGTTTGGGGAACGCTGATCTACACCAAGGCATCCAATCTGTATTTTTTATTTAAAAAAAAAAAAAAAAAAAATTTAATGTTTCTGTTAATAAACTTCGCCAAGAACCGCAAGGGACTTTTTGGTTTGGTGGAGGAAGAGTTTTCAAATGATCCGGCCATTCTATTTGGCTAACAAATGATGCACATCCTAAGTGTTATAAATTCTTGCATATCTATCACATGTTCGTAGCTTTCGACATCTAGATTTTTAGGTTTTTATTTTTAAATATCTATTCTAAAATGAATCTTGTTGCTCATGGCTGACAGCTCCAACGGGCGAGGTCAGGGCCAAGGCCGTAGCCTCCACACCAGAATGTCGGGAGTGTTCTTCCACCGGGGGATCTCCCGACTTCGCTCAGAGGAACTTCTTCTGCAAGAAGGCGGCGACGGGAGCTTCCTTGTCCGTGACAGCGAGTCGGTGGTGGGAGCCTACGTGCTGTGCCTGTTGTAAGTTGTAGTCGGTGGTGGGAGCCTACGTGCTGTGCCTGTTGTAAGTTGTAGTCGGTGGTGGGAGCCTACGTGCTGTGCCTGTTGTAAGTTGTAGTCGGTGGTGGGAGCCTACGTGCTGTGCCTGTTGTAAGTTTTGGGAGCCTACGTGATGTGCCTGTTGTAAGTTGTAGTCGGTGGTGGGAGCCTATGTGCTCTGCCTGGTGTAAGTTGTAGTCGATGGTGGGAGCCTATGTGCTGTGCCTGTTGTAAGTTGTAGTCGGTGGTGGGAGCCTACGTGCTGTGCCTGTTGTAAGTTGGTCGGTGGTGGAGCCTATGTGCTGTGCCTGTTGTAAGTTGTAGTCGGTGGTGGGAGCCTACGTGCTGTGCCTGTTGTAAGTTGGTCGGTGGTGGAGCCTACGTGCTGTGCCTGTTGTAAGTTGTTGTTGGTGGTGGGAGCCTACGTGATGTGGCTTTTAGCTGTAGTTAGTGGTGTAGGGGTGGGTCTCTGTGCTGTCTGATGTAAGTTGCAGTGAATCGTCGGATGTCTCGGTCCTGTGGCTGGGGTAAGTTGTAGTGAATGGTGGGGTGTGAATGGCGCTGTGTCTATTTTAAGTTTTAGTGAGTTGTGGGGAGTCTACTTGCTGTCTATGCTGTAAGTTGTAGCGAGTGATAGAGGGTCTACTGGCTGTGTATGTTGTGAGCTGTAATCAGTGGTGGAGGTCCACTCGTCGTGTCTTAACTCTAATATGTATTTATTTATTTGACAGATTTCAGAACAGAGTTCACCAGTATAGAATTTTACCTGACAAGGATGGCAGAATCTCAGTACAGGTAAGTCTTGGTTGTCGGGTGTGTTGTAGTCACACAGTCAAGTGTATCTATCTTTATTTTAAAAAAATTGAGGTCAATCAGTGCTTCCCAAACTTGTTAAACATTTTACTGCTCCAATTACACTTACTCTAATGGTTCTCAAATCCTGTGACAACAACAACATCATTCCTTGGTTGGCTCTGACAGAAGTCTGGAAAAGCTACCTTTCCCCATTTATTAAAATGAACTGTATTTGAAGTGGGTCTTACACCTTGAATTAGCTGGTGCCATCTTTGCCCTGGCTGAGTTTTTATTTGACCACTCTGACCCTGGCTAAGAATGTAGATCACTAAGAAAGAAATTGATAGGCTTGTGGACGTGTGGTGTTGTTTTGTCTCCCTTTGGTCTGTCTTGTTAACCATGGACCAATAATTGCCCCTTTTTTTATTGACCTCCCCTTAGTCTGAGGGCGACATGCAGCCTCCAAGCTACAATGATCTGCCGAGTCTGATTACATCTTACATCAGCAAGGGAGAGAAGAATGGACTCGTCTGTGCCCTCAAGAAGCCCATTTCTCCAGAGGGAGCTGAGGTGCCGGAGGGTGATTCCGGTAACTCTTGGGAGACTTTTGGAATTTGGGTCTGGAGGAGGTTCTCTGGGGAGACGTTTAAGGGAAGAGCCTAGAAGTCTGGCCCAGGGTTTTCAAGGAGGCATTTGAGAAAAGGGTCATTTGAGAAATTTTATATCAAGATGAAGATGAATTAGATCTTAACCGTTTATTATTTTTTAAAAGTTAAAACGTTTTTTTTTCTTTTTAAAAAGGGTTAACCAGGTAGAGTGACAAGGCAATAGCCCCCCTCTCCCCCCACCCCCTTATCTAAAAAAGTACATGTTTGGAAGAGACTAGTTTGATTTTCCAGGACTTACTGTACTTAATATTTGTGCTGTCAGCCAATTCCATTTTTTGGAGCTGCTTTGATCTGTGTGGTGGCAACTGACCGCTGCTTTGATCTGTGTGGTGGCAACTGACTGCTGCTTTGATCTGTATGGTGGCAAATGACCGCTGGTTTGATCTGTGTGGTGGCAACTGACCGCTGCTTGCTTTTTTTGTCCTTCTCAGAGGATGATGACTTTGACGATCCCAAGCACACGCCAGATTCAGACGAGAGGAATGCATCGAAACCATTCAAGTTTGGCTTTCTCAGCAACTTTTCTAGGCTGGATCTGTCAAGGTGAATTTCACTCTGATCCTCTCTCATTTATGTTTACATTATCTCCAGTGAAACCAGCAGGAAAAGGGATGGGATGTCCAGTTTTTATCCCTCTCATGATAATGTAGCCAATTTTTAAAAAAATCTCCCACCAAGCTGTCCTGCAGACTTCAGTGGTATTGATTTCAACAGGGGCATTACCTCCCCCCTTGTATGTGGGGCTGCCTTGCTGGGGGGTGGAAAATCCATTTAACATGGCTGTTTGCTCTTCTGTTTATTGCTAGCTGTTACCTCCCCTTGTAAGCAGGGCTGCCTTGCTGGGGGGTGGTAAATCCATTTAACATGGCTGTTTGCTCCACTGTTTATTGCTAGCTGTTACCTCCCCTTGTAAGCAGGGCTGCCTTGCTGGGGGGTGGTAAATCCATTTTTCATCAGAGACCTTACAAAAATTTCTTAGGCCTACTTTCTTATACAGGAAAAACATTTTTTTTAAAAATATATCATGTAGCTTATAATTTAAATATGACCTGTCTCGATCATTCATCTTGACTATATGTTGCTGAGATTATAGTTTGGTGATCTGTCATGTTTCAGCTGTGACGGTGAATTTGTTGACGCCATGAAGGCCTACGTTGACGAAGGGCTTGAGAAGGATGCCAAGAACTTCGGCGCTGAAGGAGGAAGGTACCCCATGCCAGAGTTCCAGAAACTTTTAGCCACTGCAGGGAAGGGCTTGCAGAGGTCAGTTGCTACGGTTACCGAGACACATTTGTTTCCATGGTCGGAGTCACTTAGATCACTGGCATTTAGTTTAATAATTCAAGCCTATGTTTCATAGCTGGGAATAGCTGATAAATGTTATACATCCATCGGTTTGGGAAAAGTTTATCATGATGGTCGGACCTTTCATCAGTCATACACATCATATCACTAATACATTTGAAATTTCATTATTCATACAATTGCACATCATATCACTTGTACATTTGATATTTTATCATTCATACAATTACACATCATATCACTAATACCTCTGATATTTTATCAGTTCTATCTCATAAAAGGTTTTCATAGTGTCACTCATTCATTTTATGTTGCATCACTTGAATCACCTATTTTGTTGTATGTTGTATTCCCCATGATATTGTATGTTTTATCACCCATTCCAATGAATGTTGTATCACCCATTACAATGAATGTTGTATCACCCATTCCAATGAAAGGTGTATCACTCTTATTGTATCTAGTATTACCCATACATTTGTATGTTGTATCATTCATACCCTTGTGTGTTGCATTACCCATACCATTGTATGTTATCTCAGACATACTGTTGTATTTCTCATGACATGTGTCATCTAAACACAGAGAGCTGGATGTTTTCCTGCTGAAGCTCTCCATGTGTCACGACATGTTGTGTCAGGAGGAAGATGACCGGAGGAGGACAGTCACCTCCAACCCCATGGACAGGGTGAGTACACAGGCAGACATACACAAGTGTACTGAGCACATTGGACAGACATACAGTGCACTGAGTACATTGTTAGACTTAGAACTTAAGAGTACTGAGTACATGTACATACATGCATTAATGTACTAAGTACAGTGACAGACAGAACAGTGTACTGAGTACACTAATATACATTGTACATTAACATACTTTCCCAGAGAAATGAGTACATAGACATACATTCATCAGTATACTGAGTACATTAGAGACATACACCAGTGCACTGAGTACATAGACATACACAAATGCACTGAGGAATATTGATAGCCATATGCCAGTGCACGAGAACATTGACACACATACACTAGTTTATTGACACACATACACTAGTTTATTGACACACATACACTAGTTTATTGACACACACACACTAGTTTATTGACACACATACACTAGTTTATTGACACACATACACTAGTTTATTGACACACATACACTAGTTTATTGACACACATACACTAGTTTATTGACACACATACACTAGTTTATTGAAACACATACACTAGTTTATTGACACACATACACTAGTTTATTGACACACATACACTAGTTTATTGACACACATACACTAGTTTATTGACACACATACACTAGTTTATAGAAAATATTCAAATTCTTAGATTAATTTACATTGTAAAACCAAAATCACTGGCTACCAGTTTGCTGACCTCGGAATAGCTAGCCCACCAGTTAGCTAACCTAGGTTTAGCAAATACACCAGTTAGCTAACCTAGGATTAGTATGTCCACCAGTTAGCTAACCTAGGATTAGCAAACCAACCAGTTAGCTAACCTAGGATTAGCAAGCCCACCAGTTAGCTAACCTAGGATTAGCAAGCCCACCAGTGAGCTAACCTAGGATTAACAGGCCCACCAGTTAACTAACCTAGGATTAACAAGCCCACCAGTTAGCTAACCTGGGATTAGTAAGCCCACCAGTTAGCTAACCTGGAATTAGCAAGCCCACCAGTTAGCTAACCTAGGATTAGCAGGCCCAGCATTTGATACATTATTTAATGCATTGATGTCTGTCCATTAGATGTATATTTCATTCCATATGATAAATAGTAAGATCTAGGATGCTCCGTCTGATCAGTTGTTTCTATTCTCTGCACAGCTTGGTTCTTACATTGACTACCTGGCATCCAAACTTGAGACTTGCCGGGCACAGGTGATAGCACTGGAGAAAAAGGTGATGATTTTGAATTTTGTTGAATAATTATATCTCAAGGAATAATGGTGTATCAACTTTCTGTGTCCGCCTTCTGTTACTTCTCACTGGCATACACGTTTGTGAAAATAAGTACCAAAAAAACATATAATTTGAATTTAAGAACAACCTATGTTAAAATAAGTTCATTAATTATTATTGTTCCAGCTAGAATCTAAAATTTAACAACCAATGTTAAAACAAGTTCATTAATTGTCCCTGCTAGAATCTAAGCATATTTTGAATTTAAAAACAGCCGATGTCACACAAAGTTCATGAATTGTTCAAGCTAGAAACTATTCATTTCAATCTCAAGTGTTTCCAAGCAAATTTACAACAAAAAATTACAAAAAAAAATTAATACAAACTCAAAGTACAATGTTTAATGTTCAGAGGTCGAATGGAGTATTAACTTTAAAAAAAAATTAATTAAAAATGAAATCTTATAAGATAGGAAGATGTTCTTGACAAGGAAGTTTAAAAAATTTTTTTGAATTGCACTCAAAGTACAAGTCAGTCAATTAAAGGAAACTGAATTTTCTTTAACTCGCCACTACTTGAACTATTTTAAAATTATTGATTTTTTTTTTTTAAGAGGGGTGCTAAGACGAGAGGAGAAGTATATTTTAATTGGTTAAAGGGGTCACAATGGAAAATTTGCAGAAGTGGGTCGGGTTGAAAAATTGGAGATTTCCTAGAGTAACCCAGTTTGTCATGTGTAGCCGAAAGAAAGATAACTTGAAGTGTATAAAAAATCAAGTACTGAGACAGTTATAATATTTGTTGAGAATTGATGGAAATGTTCTTCAGGGTTTATGAAAATAAGGAGACATGTTAGACAAGTGAATGCTCAGGCAAAGTTGAGGTTGTTCTCATTGGAATCTCAGCGGAAGGATGACATGTTAGACAAGTGAATGCTCAGGCAAAGTTGAGGTTGTTCTCATTGGAATCTCAGCGGAAGGATGACATGTTAGACAAGTGAATGCTCAGGCAAAGTTGAGGTTGTTCTCATTGGAATCTCAGCGGAAGGATTACATGTTAGACAAGTGAATGCTCAGGCAAAGTTGAGGTTTTCTCATTGGAATCTCAGCGGAAGGATGACATGTTAGACAAGTGAATGCTCAGGCAAAGTTGAGGTTGTTCTCATTGGAATCTCAGCGGAAGGATATGCTGATAAAGTGTTAAAAGCAGGCTATGCAAATTAAACATCGCTAGTAGGATATGTTCATTAAACATCACAAGTAGGAAATGTTTATGAAACATCCCAAGTAGGATATGTTCATTATATGTTGCGAGTAAAATATGTTCATTAAACATCAAAAGTAGGATATGTTCATTAAACATCACAAGTAGGAAATGTTCATTAAACATCACAAGTAGGAAATGTTCATTAAACATCACAAGTAGCAAATGTTCATTAAATATCACAAGTAGGAAATGTTCATTAAACATCACAAGTAGGAAATGTTCATTAAACATCACAAGTAGGAAATGTTCATTAAACATCACAAGTAGCAAATGTTCATTAAACATCACAAGTAGGAAATGTTCATTAAACATCACAAGTAGGAAATGTTATTTAAACATCACAAGTAGGAAATGTTCATTAAATATCACAAGTAGCAAATGTTCAATAAACATCACAAGTAGCAAATGTTCATTAAACATCACAAGTAGCAAATGTTCAATAAACATCACAAGTAGCAAATGTTCATTAAACATCACAAGTAGCAAATGTTCATTAAACATCACAAGTAGGAAATGTTCATTAAACATCACAAGTAGGAAATGTTATTTAAACATCACAAGTAGGAAATGTTATTTAAACATCACAAGTAGGAAATGTTCATTAAACATCACAAGTAGCAAATGTTCAATAAACATCACAAGTAGCAAATGTTCATTAAACATCACAAGTAGGAAATGTTCATTAAACATCACAAGTAGCAAATGTTCAATAAACATCACAAGTAGGAAATGTTCATTAAACATCACAAGTAGCATATGTTCATTAAATGTCACAGGTAGGATAAGTCAGTTAAATGCTGTAAATGTTGGCTGTATGTTGATGGCTCATGTGAGTTCAAACTGTTCTGATAGTGGAAATAAAATAGTCTTTCAAAACTTAACGATGCAATGGACAATACAGAATAAAGTTAGATATTAGGTGATGAAGCTTGCACTCATTTTATTTGATAATAGAGACTCGTGTGCATATTCAGCCAGCGTAAGTGTGTGGGAGGGGGGGGGGGGAGCGAGCAGCCCAAAACTTGTGCTTCACATATTAAAAAAATTTAAGCACATTTATTATAAAAAAAAAAGGGAGCAGTAGATGCGTCTAGAATTCTGGGTTGCATGGCATGAGTGTGTTTAACAATGGCAGATTAGCTCGGCTGAAGTTGAGCAAACATCCCTAGTGTGAAAACTACAACAGATTTGGTAAGGATAGCGGGGACAACAACAAAAAAACCCAACAAATTATTGGTTGTGTCTTTGGTCAGTACGCATCACACAATGACAAACCTTATTGACAAGCTATACAAATGTTGCTGTGGATTTGCTCACCAAGGCCCAGAGATGTGAAAAGCAGTAACATAAAAATTGTCTTAATTTGGAACTGTGAATGGTTCCCCCTCCTCAACACGACACCTCCTTTCCAAACTGATGTCATGTCGCTCAGAATCGGCAACCGCCGGTGGTCGTTAAAATACCCCCGCTAATGAATGCAAGCAGATTTCACCACTCCATTCATTTGTCAATGTTGAACTGTTGTGATAGTGGCCAATACTAGTAAGATAGAAGGAGTGAAGTCTGCTGTGTTGAACTGTTGTGACAGTGGCCAATACTAGTAAGACAGAAGGAGTGAAGTCTGCTGTGTTGAACTGAATGTTTAATCTGCAACTCCTGACCAACATGGTAAGTGGCGTGCGACACACGGAAATATTCTGGGAGATTATTGAGTAGTTTTGGCCTATGCAAATTCACTTCTGTTTTCATAGTTGATGTGAGGTTTTAATGTTATAAATATTTTTATTTTTTTTAAATCATGGGAAGAAGGGTTAAGATTTGTTTGTACCAAAAGCCTTGAACTTGATCTATACTTGAAAATAACATTTTATTGAAAACCCCATCCTTTACATTAAAAATGAGAACCCCCTCTCTCTTTCTATCATTCATTCTCTTCTTCCCCATAAAGGCATAGACCTGAATTTTGGCACAGTTCTTCCTTAGATAACACTGGGAAAATGAAAGCTATGGGGGATTTTGATACCCAAGAGGCTGTATACTATTTCTTTTAATCCTATCCCCTTAAAGGCCCAAGAGACTCTAGTACTATTTGTTTTAATCCTATCACCTTACAGGCCCGAGAGACTCTAGTACCATTAGTTTTATTCCTACTTCCTATCACCTTACAGGCCCAAGAGACTCAGTACTATTAGTTTTATTCCTACTTCCTATCACCTTACAGGCCAAAGAGATTAGTTTTATTCCTACTTCCTATCACCTTACAGGCCCAAGAGGTTGTGAAAGACAACACAGAGAATCCACCTGATGAGTACAACTACCCTGATGTCACTGATGCAGTGTCCCTGAGGGTGCCACACCAGTTTGTTCCCCTGGCGCTGAGACGTCACAGCAGCATAAGCATCCCTCTGTCTACTTTTGAGGTGATTCATAAGGGTGGGAGATATTCAGCTCGTTATATGCACAAAAAAACACGTAGAATACTTAAATTTGAAAAATTTGAAAACAAGGCTCTGAGTTTAAAACAGTCCGTCTCAATGTGACGATGTAGTGGGTTTTCACTGGGTGAAAGCATGAGACCCGTGATTATTTCAAATGAAAATAAGTGGGCTATCTTTAAACAGGACCACCCACCCCCACTCCATCCACACTTATTTTTATCCTAAGCCAACAAGTGGATGATACAGCTTGGCACCAGGGGCTTTAGAAACATTAGAGTGTCACTAACTTGTAAAATGTCGCAGCTCTCATAATGTCTTAATTGACACAGCTCTTATATTGCCTTAATTGGCGCAGCTCTCATATTGTCTTAATTGGCACAGCTCTCATATTGTCTTAATTGGTACAGCTCCCGTAATGACTTAATTGACACAGCTCTTATATTGTCTTATTGGCACAGCTCTCATATTGTCTTATGTGGCATAGCTCTCATATTTTCTTAATTGGCGCTGTTCTCATATTGTCTTAACTGGCACAGTTGTCTTTATGTTTACTGGTGCAGTTCTCATATTGTCTTAATTGGCGCAGTTGTCATATTATTTTTACCGGCACAGTTCTCATATTGTCTTAACTGGCGCAGTTCTCATATTGTCTTAACTGGCGCAGTTCTCATATTGCCTTAATTGGTGCAGCTCTCATATTGTCTTCACTGGCACAGTTCTTATATTGTCTTAATTGGCACAGTTCTCATATTGTATTTACTGATTCTGTTCTGATATTTTCTTAATTTGCGCAGTTCTCATATTGTCTTAATTGGCCCATTTCATTTAAATTGTCTTAATTGGCGCAGCTCTCATATTGTCTTAATTGGCCCAGCTCTCCTATTGTCTTTATTAGTGCAGCTCTTATATTGTCTAAATTGGTGCAGTTCTTATATTATCTTAAATTGGCACAGTTCATATATTGTCTTCACTGGCACAGCTCTTATATTGTCTTAATTTGCACAGTTCTTATATTGTTTTAATTGGCACACTTCTCATATTGCCGTAATTGGCACAGTTCTCATATTGTCTTAATTGGCACAGTTCTCATATTGTCTTAATCGGTGCATCCCTCATGTTTTCTTAATTTGTATAGTTCTTATATTTTCTTGATTAAAGCAGTTCTCATATTTTCTTAATTGGTGCAGTTCTTATATTGTCTTGATTGGCACAGTTCTCGTATTGTGTTATTGGTGCATCTCTTATATTGTCTCAATTTGTGCAGTTTTCATATTGTCTTTACTGGCGCAGTTCTCATAATGTCTTAATTCATGCAGTTCTCAAATGGTCTTAATTGGCACAGTTCTCATATTGTCTTAAATGGCATATTTCTCATATTGTCTTAATTGGCACAGTTCTCATATTGTGTTAATTTGCACAGTTCTCATATTGTCTTAATTGGCACAGCCCTCATGTAGTCTTAGTTGGCACAGTTCTCATATTGTCTTTACTGGCGAAATTCTCATAATGTTTTAACTGGCGCAGTTGTCATATTGTCTTATTTGTTGTAGCTCTCATATTGTCTTAATTGGCACAGTTTTCATATTGTCTTAATTGTTGTAGCTCTCATATTGTCTTTATTGGTGCAGATCTTATATTGTCCTTATTGGTGCAGATCTTATAATGCAGGCCTGCACAACATACTTCCCGCGGAATACATGCGGCCTACCAGCAACCATTTAGTGGCCTCCGAGTAACGAAATAATATTCGTAATATTTTCTTAATATTTTTCCCCCTGGGCTATTTTCTTTTGGTCCGCACACATTTTTTCATAAAGTATTACGTACTGCCTTACATTTTGAGTTGTGCAGGCCTGTTATAATGTCTTAATTAGCACAGCTCTCATAGTGTCTTAATTGGTGCAGCTCTCATATTGTCTTTATTGGTGCAGCTCTTATATTGTCTTAATTGGCACAGCTTTTAAATTGTCTTAGTTGGTGCAGGTCTTATATTGGCACAACTTTCATTGTCTTAATTGTCATAGCTCTTTTATTGTCTTAATTGGGGCAGCTCTTATATTGTCTTAATTGGGGAGCTCTTATATTTTCTTCATTGGCGCAACTCTCAGAATCTCCTGGTATATTTCCAGGTGAAAGTATTAAAGTATGGTAAGGCCAACTACAAACTCAAGTTAACAGTGGATATTCACCAAGGAAGATTCTTTGCAGTCAAGCCTTCAAAGGAACAACTGGATGCAAGCAATACTTTCCCTCATGATAAAAGTAGGTCACTGATTGTTCTCATGATATAAGTAGGACATGGATTGTAGAAGCAGGTCACTACTCCCTCATTGTAGTAGTAGGTCATTGACCTCATGTCAGCACTAGATCACATTACCTCATGTTAAAATTGTACCACATTCCTTTAAGATGAAAGTAGGACACTACTGTATATATTTGTACTTACTAATTACCCCACAAGGTGTAAACACCTCATAAATCATTGTGGCATTTTTATTCTTCATTTCAGTGTTTTCATTATTTCTATCTCATAAGATATCTTCTATACTACTTAATGAAAGTCTGCACTATTATGTACAAGTATCGAATTGAAATGATAAAATATACCTGGTAGATTAGAATAGTAGGTAAATCTAAAATATATTTTCACATCAGGATATAATTTCTTTTGCGACAGCTTAGATTTAAAAACAGCTGCATAAGTTTGAACAAAAGATATATATTGAGTATTGGACAGGATAAACAACATGCTTGAGAATTTCTGTGGATGTTATTCCCATGACTTGTCTCAATCATCTGTTCCCAGTCGCCCAGCTGGTCAAAAATACAACAGACAACAGCCGACTGCATGTGATCTTCAGCAACAAGAAGAAGTACACTTACCAGTTTGCCAGTGTGCTGGAGAGGGAGAATTTTTGTCTCCAGATCCGGCAGATGAAGTCCCTTCACTCGCAGGAACAGGATGTGGACAATGTCTCGATATTCATTGGAACTTGGAACATGGGTAAATGAAGAGGGCTTGTTTTAATTGCAGTTTTGAGAAAGTTTTTGCATGTTCCGTTCCGTGGTTGCTATGGCATCAACCCCTTAACCCCCCCCCCCCAACCACCACCACCACCACCCACCACCACCACCCCAACCACCCACCACCACCACCCACCACCACCCACCACCACCACCACCACCACCCACCACCACAGATGAGCAACAACTAAACCCAACTAGACAACTATTTTTTTATTAACAAATCTTCAGGTAATGCAACAATGCAGTAATATATTGCAAACAGTTTTTAATCTTTTAATACCTTCTCAATAATGTTTTTTTCCCAATAATTTTTGTTTAAGGGATTAGCAGAGTTTTCATGTACCTAACTTGACAATTCAACATTTGAGAAAAAAAGTATTTCATGGTGTGATTAAAAGGGTTTATTCTCTTATGTATCCACTACACAGAGCGAACAAAATTTCAATAAAACTTTTTAGTATTTATCTTTGATAACTATTTGTTAGGCTGTCTTTTGGGATAAGGCAGATTTTTAAAATTAAATTGGTGAAAAGCTTTTTATTGCCATTTGCTCTGTCTGTTCAAGGGTTGACTTTCAAGATCATCAATCAGGACCTTCCATTTTTTTTTTCTCAGGCAAGTCGGCCCCCGTCGAGTCCCTCAAATTCTGGCTCAAGTGCAACGGAGAGGGCAAGAATAAAGATCGGACCCTGAGCCGTTTGCCGCATGACATTTATGTTATTGGAACTCAGGAGAGCGGGATGACTGAGAAGGATTGGATCAACACGCTGAAGGCCGCCCTCAAAGCCGCGCTCAACCTGGATGTCGATCTGGTATGAGTTTTGGTCACCTCGTTTTCAATTGAGCTGTTCCGTAAAGTTCCATTGGTAACCACTCTCCATGGCACCGATTCTCATTTTTTGTCTCCCCTTGTCTATGTTCTGTGTCCACTCTTAAAGAGACAAGTGGGGGTTGACAGTGCTATCATTCATTGAATCCAAACACCCCAACACATTTCCCAAGATGGGTTGACCATTAACTCTAGACAAGTCAAACATCGTCTCATTTTACGTTAAATACTTCCAAAAACGTTTACAAAACAAAAAGGGGGGTGGGGTGGGGGGGAGGGAGATAATACTTTTCTGTTCAGATATAATTTTATTGTACAAATTAAAAAAATTTCAGCATTTTAAAAAAAAATGTTGGCTTTAAGCGCACAGTTTTAAACTTAAATGTTTCATAATATTTTTTTTTAACAAATTCTAATTTTTAAAACATCATTTTCACAAAATTTATAACAAATAAACCAATTATTTCGGTCCCCCTTTGAATGGTTGATCACAGCTAAACCTTGGACGCCTGTGACTTTTCTTAATCCTCTGGCAAAATAATTTTGTAATGCTGAAAAAGCTCCAAAAAAAATAAATCAGATAACTTATGTGCCTTTTGGCTAAGATCAAGATGTAGTGTCTGTTCTTATCCCGTTGGGTTACAAACCCGTGGGAGAAATTTGATATCTCCCTCAGTTTTCTGGGGGAACACTTAATAAATAAAAAATAAAAACAATGTTGGTAATGCAGAGTGGAAACATTTAAAAGTTTTATTTTGTTGTCTCCTCTTGCAGCTGGAGTCGTGTTCCTTGTGGGGCCTCAGAACTCTGGTGTTTATCAATCCTAAACACAGGAACAAGATTAGCCACATTCAGAAGTCTTCTGTCAGAACTGGGATCGCCAACGCCCTGGGTATGAGACCTTATTTATTGGTTATTCGTTTTTTTGGAGGGTTTTTTTTTGTTGCTGATCTATTGCTGTGATTGGTTTGTAGACAGGTTTTCCCTGCAGTTTGGAATAATTATCATCCAGTGTTTATTTTAGCAATGGCTCGCTGTTAAAGGCAGATACAACATGGTCTTGATATGGCTTGTGCCACCATGTTACCTAGACTGCAGATGATTGACTGAAGATGATAAGATAGTTCATCTTTGTGGCCAATAGCGTGCTGTCTAAGAAGATGATAAGATAGTTCATCTTTGTGGCCAATAGCGTGCTGTCTAAGAGTTTGGTTTCCCTTCGTCAAAGCCACAGAAAGCAAAATACCGAGTCAAAAACTCCTTTCCTCCTAGTCATCTGCAGAGCTGATGTGTTCCATCAAAAACTCCTTTCCTCCTAGTCATCTGCAGAGCTGATGTGTTCCATCAAAAACTCCTTTCCTCCTAGTCATCTGCAGAGCTGATGTGTTCCATCAAAAACTCCTTTCCTCCTAGTCATCTGCAGAGCTGATGTGTTCCATCAAAAACTCCTTTCCTCCTAGTCATCTGCAGAGCTGATGTGTTCCATCAAAAACTCCTTTCCTCCTAGTCATCTGCAGAGCTGATGTGTTCCATCAAAAACTCCTTTCCTCCTAGTCATCTGCAGAGCTGATGTGTTCCATCAAAAACTCCTTTCCTCCTAGTCATCTGCAGAGCTGATGTGTTCCATCAAAAACTCCTTTCCTCCTAGTCATCTGCAGAGCTGATGTGTTCCATCAAAAACTCCTTTCCTCCTAGTCATCTGCAGAGCTGATGTGTTCCTTAAAAAACTCCTTTCCTCCTAGTCATCTGCAGAGCTGATGTGTTCCTCGATTCCAACAACCAAATGTGGTGAAAAGTATCAGATTTATTTATTTACTGGCTTTGTATGCATGGCAGTCGGAATATGCATTAGACATAATCACCGTTGTTCAGAAGAAATAGACTTGTCCACAAGCCCTGCACATCCCACCCCAAAAACGTAGGAACGGAACAGCACTCGTAGCGAAGTATAATAACGGCTTAGCAAAAAAAAAAAAATTCACACCTATATCAAAAAATAGTATTCGCTCACGCTCACATAAGTGTACAGGGCTTTTATTTTAAACCACAGGTTTTTTTAAAATCAACACTCTTTTGCAGTTATATGTTACCGAGTTAAATTCATGAATACGGGGAACACAGCAATAGGAAAAACTGCCATTCTTCACTCACATAAGATCACAAAGATCACAACATGACACAGCAGAACTACATCATGTTATCAGATTGTGACATCATAACATGACACCGCAGAACTACATCATGTTATCTGATTGTGACATCATAACATGACACAGCAGAACTACATCATGTTATCTGATTGTGACATCATAACATGACACAGCAGAACTACATCATGTTATCTGATTGTGACATCATAACATGACACAGCAGAACTACATCATGTTATCTGATTGTGACATCATAACATGACACAGCAGAACTACATCATGTTATCTGATTGTGACATCATAACATGACACAGCAGAACTACATCATGTTATCTGATTGTGACATCATAACATGACACAGCAGAACTACATCATGTTATCTGATTGTGACATCATAACATGACACAGCAGAGCTACATCATGTTATCTGATTGTGACATCATAAAATGACACAGCAGAACTACATCATGTTATCTGATTGTGACATCATAACATGACACAGCAGAGCTACATCATGTTATCTGATTGTGACATCATAACATGACACAGCAGAGCTACATCATGTTATCTGATTGTGACATCATAACATGACGCAGCAGAACTACATCATGTTATCTGATTGTGACATCATAACATGACACAGCAGAACTACATCATGTTATTTGATTGTGACAATCTTGAGCATGTTTTTAAAAAAAAATATTTTTGTGCATAAATTGATCAGCGTTCATAATATTTTAGAAACTCCTAATCAATTTTGATTCGTCTAACGTTTTTAAAATTACGAATTTTTTTTAAGCTAAGCATTAAATTTCTTAAGAGAGAATGTCTGACCTTTTGACAGGGAACAAAGGGGCTGTGGCCATTTCTTTCATGCTCAGTGGCACATCCTTTTGTTTTATTAATGCCCACTTGGCGTCAGGAGACGAGAGGTTGGACAGGTGAGTTTGTTGTGCGCGTGGGAGGGAGCAATGTGTGGGAGAGGAGAGTTTGGACAGGTGAGGTTATTGTGTGAGTGTGTGGTAGGAAAGGTTTGACGCATGAGGTTGTGTGTGGCAGAGAGCAATGTGTGGGAGAGGAGGAGTTGGACAAGTGAGGTAATTGTGTGTGTGAGAGAGAGGGGATTAATGTGTGTGAGGAGAGCAGTTGGACAGGTGAGGTTATTGTTTGTAAGGGGGGACTGATGTCTGAGCAGAGCGGTTGGACAGGTGAGGTTATTGTTTGTAAGGGGGGACTGATGTCTGAGCAGAGCGGTTGGACAGGTGAGGTTATTGTTACATTCCCCCCTGACTACAGACTCGTCTCGCCAACCTGTCCACTCCAATATGTGTGTGGGAGAGGAGAGGTTTGACGGGGGAGTTTTTTTTGGCTAAGTGGGGGGGGGGGAATTGATGTGTGGAACAGGAGTGGTTAGATTATTATTTTGTGCGTAATTTAGATCTTGTATGATTTGGCTCTACTTTAACATTGTGTTATGTGTGTAATAGCATCATCAATGTGCTGATGTATGTGTATTTACATAAAAAATAATTTATATGTAGATTACTTTCTCCTTTATTCTGCTGTGTCTAGGAGAAATGCCAACTTCCGAGATATACTGAAGAACTTGTCCATGGGTCCCAAGAACTTGGAGCACTATGACATCACACACAAGTTTCATCATGTGTTCTTCTTCGGTGACCTCAACTACCGAGTCACAGGAAATATTGACGTAAGTCTCTCATAAGTCAGTCAACTTCTTCGGTCATCTCAACTATAGAGTCACTGGATATCTTGATCTAAATCTCTCATAGTTCAGTGTACTTTTATCAACAATGGAATACTTCTCCTCTTTGACACAACAAGCATGAGCCTCACCTGACATCACATGACCAAATTACACTTTACCAGCATCAAGTGATACAACTATACTCCGACCACATTTCAGGACAGTATTTCACAACACAGTTTTAAAAACGAACTGCATTATCTGACTAAGGATAACATTATAGCTATTTCCTGCACAGAGACTTTTGGTAAGAGTTATATTTCTATCAAATTTTTTAAATTTCTGTGCCAGTTATTTCCATCTCAAATGTTGCTTTAGAATGTTGCCTAAAATAGATGTGTGGTAATATACTCACTCCGATTGTGGCAATCAATGTTTCAACACAGTGAGGGTATTTATTTAATTTACATAGAATGACTAAATGTCTGATACCTGCATCTGGATTTTTAAAAATTTCTTTCTAATTGCAGCAAATCTTGACCAAGCTGGAGAAAAGAGAATTCATGCCGTTACTTGAACAAGACCAGCTGAAGCGATGCCAGTTTGAGAAGAAAGCCTTTTTTGGATTCAGTAAGTTTGTAGGGTCCAACAAAAAAGGGCAGTGTTTAAAAAAAAATAGGAGGCGTTACGCACAGTCGGGTTTGGAACAACGCTCAACTTTACTTTGAGCCGACTGTGTGACGCTCAGCGTTATTACCAGCGGATAAATGGCTTACTTCCGCTAGCTCAACATTATTCCCATCTGATTGTGAATAAGCACTTCTTTAAAAAATACAGTTGGTTACCAGTTACCACTAAATTGTTTTTCTTGTTTAGTCTCAGGGATATCAGTAATTGCAAGGGCTTGAATATTCATTTAAAGCAATGTTTTGTTTATTCATAATTAGATTAACTGAGTTGTAAAATCATTGAGGAACTTTTGAATGTGTACAGGCCTTTCATTAGGCAAATCTTCGGCTATCAAAATATTATATTTTAACCAATTTGTATGACTTTGTACCAACTTCACATAGAGAAAAGTTTTGAAAGTTTCAAATTTAAGCAATAAAATTTACCAGCAAAAAAACACACATACAAATGAAGGCAACACTAATACAAAAAAAATAAATAAAAAAAAAACAACCCACAAAAAAAATTAATACAAAAAACATAAATACAAAAAAAACACAAACAACCCAGCTTCATTAAATTGTTGTTGGCCTTTATATTAAGAGAATTTTTAAGTGTTAAAATCCACTCTCTATAAAAAATCCCAGGGGAAATGAGATGATGAACCTGTTCAAAGCCAAGGCCATTCTGACTTAACAACCTTTTTTTGCCTTGTCGTATTCCAGGTGAATCTGAGGTTACGTTCATGCCAACGTACAGACTTGAAAGACAGACGCCGGGCTACAAATATGATTGGAAGAAAATCAAAACCACAATGGTATCAGTTCAAATAGTCATGGAATAAATTAGTGATGAAATAGAGAACTAGATTTGCTTGTGCCGTTTGTTAACGTGACCTTTAATGTCATCAAGCTGAGTGGCGATCAACTATAATAATTATTATTGAATGTGGTGCCATATCCAGTGTAGCAAGACTGAAACACTCTGGTCACGTATGAATCTTGACTCCCAACATGCTTAAACTCCCAGTCTCAAAATGGCATAAGTGAATTACAAATACTTCTCATTAGCGGTGGTGGGGGGCCTCCAGCTAACACTTTGGCTCTGCCCAACATTATATCTACAACATAGGACCACTGATCACTATGGCCTCTCCAAGGTCAACAAAAATGAAATCTATTATTTTTTTTACGGTTCAAAAGTTTTTGTATTCTACATGTTATTTAAACACTGGTGGACGATTCCGTTGAAGTCCAGCTCTATTCATATATTTTTTTGTGCAAAGTCCTTCAAAGCAATTTTAGAAATCTATTAATAACCTTGTGTCTCTTCCGTAGGAAAGAATCAACATTCCGTCTTGGTGTGATCGCATTTTGTGGCACTCATTCCCTGGGACATTTATAGAAAATACAGCCTATGGTACGTCATATGACTGTTTCTTACCATTCACACCTTGGACTCTGCCATGTTATGTTGAAATATGAGCTTTAAGACCAGTGTTGACCAGTGTTGACCAGTGTTGACCAGTGTTAATTTAGAAAAGAGACATGTTTTAGATAACCATGACTTTGTTTCTGCTGTATTTAAAAACACCAGGTGGTTGTTGCGCAAAACTTGGAACAAATACCTCAGAATCTTACAATTCAAAAAAAGGGGGGGGGGGGGGGGGTTTTTAATTTTTTTTCTCTAGATGACAATTAATTGTGAGAGAAGCTTAAATCTAATTATTGGGCTGAGAGATAGATTCTGAAGGATTGAATAAATCTTTTATTGATTCCTTTCAATTTGAGAGAAACAATAGAATTTCAAACTGGTTGAGAATAGTCTTTTTTTTCTCTCTCAGTGTTTTCTCATCCTCAAAAATAGCTGACTTGTCTAAAACACTTGGCTACTCGGCATTAACCGACGCCTGGCCCCTTTGCCTTCCCAACTTATGTAGCTACAATAATCTTGATTAAATTTCCCATTAATACCTGATTATCTTTACCCCCACGGGTCATTAAGGATTGCAATCAGAATTTTTTTTGTATCTCTCTACTTGTTTTAGGTTCTGCGGACAATCTACTCAACAGTGACCACAGGCCGGTGTTTGGCTCCTTCACCGTAGGGATAGCCTCCCCTTTCATACAGAACAGAGCATCCCTACAGGACAACCTCAATGTCAAATTTATTTTCAAGAATATTGAAGCCCAGGTAATTCTTTAAAAATTTCCCCAACACAGTGACCTTTATATACAATATGAAGATATAAAATTGAAATTAAAATGTTAGCTGCTGTCCCGGTTACAAAAATTCTTCCCTTGAGTATTGTTCGTTAATTTTAGATTATATGTCACTTACAACATCCTCTTTAGTTTTTCATCCACAAATGTTTCTAACTTTATCATGTGGCTAAAATTAGGAAATGAGTGAAACAATGTAATGGGAAAACCTGAAGAAATGAACGCAACAAAACAATGAACATGTCATCAGGGAGGAAACGAGAGTAAAAACAAAATTAAATAAAAATAGCACTTGGCTAAAAAGTAGTATCGAGGGGGTAGCAAAAGAATTGTGTGGTTAAAATTAGGCCTACACTCATGCCTATAACAGTTAAGACCAGTGGTCCTAAAACTTTATCAGCTCCCCCCCCCCCCCCCAAACACACCCTAGCACCTCCCTGTGTTACCCCAAAAATATCAATATTCAGGATAGTAGTTTGCACATATTTGAAAGCAAGATAACATAAAACAATTTACATGCATATCGTGGGGCTGAACTTTCAATTTTAATAGAACAAAAGCTTTTAAATTGAATCATTTCACTTATAAACTGATAACTTGATCCGGCAGAAAGCTTTTTATAATACACTTAGTGATACACTTGGTGATAAACCAGGTAGTAATAAACCTACTAACACACATAGTAAAACACACTTAAAGATACACTTTCTGGTACACTTAGTAATACAATTAGTAATGCGCTTAGATATGGTAACTTACTTCCTCACTGCTCAAATAATCTCAATGCTTAAATTGATTCTTAAATGCTGTGGCAAAATGTCGTCTAGTGGTAGGTCCCTCTTCCAAACGGCCACAGAAACACACTCTCAGATCAGAACACAAACAGGAGATGTGTCCCCTGACAAATGCCACTTGTTCAATGTTTGGAGTAAAGGTCAACAGCCACATTAATAACAACATTCCACAAAATATGGTGTGGAAAATGTTGCAACCAGGAGCTCCCTAACCAACTTCCACAGCTCATGATGGTTACGACAGATTTCTTAATGAAGCCAAAAAAACCTGGTATGATGAATCCTTGAACTTTGGCATCAGCCCAGTATCATTTTTGTTAATCTCTAAATTAGCCCTTCATCCAAATGTATGTGGAATGGTCAAGTGGTCACAATGTACTGGCAGATTGACATCTTGTTAGTGGAATTGTCAAGTGGTCACAATGTACTGGCAGATTTACATCTTGTTAGTGAAATTGTCAAGTGGTCACAATGTACTGGCAGATTGACATCTTGTTAGGGTACCTTATTCTCTTCTCGGGTCAGAGGGACTTAGGAATTGGCACGCATGAGCAGAGCTAGTTTTTAATAGAACTTTGATACAAAATACAAACAAAGATAATGTTTATCTGCGTTGTATAAAATTAACCTCATTTCCCAGCAGATGTAAATTATTTACTCTAAAATTTGCTAATAATAATATCACTGAAAATGCAGTGTCTAATGTTTTTGGATTTATGCTAATATAACTGGCAATACAGAGTCTAATATCTTTAGGTTTAGCTAATGTCAAAGATAGTACAGTGCCTAACGTCTGAGTGAAACATTTTGTCTTTAAAAATCATACAGTAGTAATAGCTTCTAAAACTGACTCACACACTCGCCTTTTGAACCCCCACAAACTTTCAGTTTTTTAGCCACCAGGTGTTTGCGAAGAATCACACAATAAATTGCAAATACAGGATTTAATTCTATAACAAAAATAATAACAAAAAAATCAAGGTACCAATCGGTCATCATTGGTGACCTTTATAATTTACTGGTCCATATGTCAATTCAAGTGGCACCAAGAGCTCTCAATCTTTAACTTAATCCTTATATAGGTCATGTTTATTTGACTTCTGTACCCAGCCAATGGCTTGATATGAAATGATACTAGTTAGATTCCACCTTGGAGCCATCAATATAATATGTCAAGCTGCGGAGGGATGGTCTAAATAAATGTGACAGTTTTGTGACAGGGGGGGGGGGTAAAATATCATATGTGACGTCACATATTTTATATTTTTAATAGTTAATATAAAACCTGAAATGACAGTTAACCAATTTTTTACTTTGGAAAGTGGGGATTTGTTACTTGGGTGAACATTGCTCTTTATGTGTGGCAATGATATTTATATAACCAGAGTAGATCAACTTAATACATTTTCTTAATTCTGCATCCAGTGAATGTTTTGAAAAATATGTGTGAAGGGGGGGGGGATGGGGCGGGCTCCTCTTTAAAATGCACTCATTAGGGTTGTCTGTTCATGTCAACTTTCCAGGTAAACATGGCTGGGAAAAAAGCAACACTTTTCAAGAGTTATTCATCATGGCCCCTACGTTAAGTCCAATTCCCCCCTGAATCTACTAAGCATATTACTGACCCACCCCAGCGGGGGACACTATCGCCCCTCTGGGTGACACTTACTGCCCACTTTAAGAACCATTGGTTTAGATTTTAGAACATTTCAGCCCAGAAGCTTAGTAAAGACTTGTGTTTGGAGTCAAAGGGGTTTAATTGAATCTCATATTAAACCAGACTGCAATAAAGCTTGAAATGAATTTAAAACCAAGTCTTAATTGGATAATCCAAACTGCCTTTGGGTATACTTACATGTATTTTGATTCATTATAGATTAAAACAAGCACCAAGCAGTCCTATTTTCTGGAGTTTTCCTCAGCTTGTCTTCCTGGTAAGTAGACTGTCCTTTTTACGATTATGCATGGCTGTCTAGATATTGTTTTTGCATTAGGTTTGGTTTTATTTTATTTAATAATTTATGTTTAAGTTATTTTTCTAATTAATTCTGGGCTGTAGATTTCTTGTGTTGGTTTGGTTCTTTTTAAAAATGTTTTATTTGGTTGCTTACTCCTGGCATGACAATGTGGCAATAAAATATATGTCTACCAGGTAAAGAATAAAATGATGCAGCCAAATAATTATTTATGAAACTGCCTTACAGCAATCTTACTTAATAACTTTATCATATCATTTGCTTGTCAGGGAAACACAATGTATTAGCCAAATAATGATCTTATCACCTCATATCATTGTATCTTAATGACTATAACTAACATAACTCCTGGTTCTCTGGCCTACAATTCCTATTTCTGTTTGTTTAACAAATCTGTATACAGGAGCTTGTCCTTTTACAAACATGTAATTTTACTTATTTGTAAATGTAAATAAATAATTTTAAAAAATATATATCTGAAAATAAATTTCAAACCTTTAAAAAATGTGAATATCATATTTCACACACACAAAAAAAATACTCATTCTTGTGAGTTTTTAAATTTAAATATATAGGCCCTATTTAACAACAAAAAAAGGGGGGGGGGCAAGAATGGAAAATATGGCAACTATTTAATTCTACAAGTTAACATACATGTCACCCCATCACACAATAAATGCACGTATTTCACTATTAATCTTGACAAACAGAGAGAGGGATAATAAAGGTAAGGGATAATGAAATCATTTCACTCAGGTAAGGGATAATGAAATCATTTCACTCAGGTAAGGGATAATGAAATCATTTCACTCAGGTAAGGGATAATGAAATCATTTCACTCAGGTAAGGGATAATGAAATCATTTCACTCAGGTAAGGGATAATGAAATCATTTCACTCAACATTTTTAAATCAAAATATCTCATGTGGTCATCCATGTGTCTCAGCTTTTTTTTTTTTTTTTAATAATTGACATTTTGTTTCCATTTTGTTTTTAGCAAATCGTGGCCAGGGTAAGGTCAATGTTCATAACACATGTGTAGACAAATGAACCATTCACTGCTGCTATTTTGTTCAGTTGGTGCCCACCAAGCTTTGCCTGGATAAAATTCTCCACTTCTTTGCAATCGTTTCATACGTAGCAGTCCAACATCATTGGCACTGAAAAGTGATGTGTAGATATTTTAATGATTTTTTAAAAGAAATTATCCAAGTATTGGATCTTTAAATGATGAATAATACTCCTCCATTGGTAGGTTTTGAAATTAGGAATGTAACTCACGCATTTGTAGGTCTTAAAATTAGGAATGTAACTCATGCATTTGTAGGTCTTAAAATTTAAAAAAAAAGTCAATTTTCCACCTGTAGGTCTTTCAAATGATAAATGTGACTCTTTGACTTGTAGGTCCCAAAAATTATAAATTTAACACATCCATTTATAGGTCGTAAAATAATAATTATAAATTTTCCACCTGTTTGTCTTTTAAATGATGAATGTGACTCTTTTGACTAGTAGGTCCCAAAAATTATAAATCTAACTCATCCATTATGGTTCTTTAAATGATAAATTTCCCTCCCCCCATTTGATTGCACTAATGCTAATGTTTGTTTGTATCTTTATGTCAGTATGCTCTCAAAGATGTTAAAATTTCACCTGTGTAGCATTAAATACCTAGAACTAGCATGACACTGGTATTATCAATACCCACGGTTAGTTTAGTAGTTACTGAGCCTTTCCCCCCATTATACTAGTATTATCAATACCCACAGTTAGCTTAGTAGTTCTCGGCCCAACTGAAGAGTTCATGTCTCATTTAACAAAATACCCTATCTCAAACTGGGAGAGTGAATTAATTATTTGGTGGAGTCAAAAGTAATACCTTCTTGATAAAAATGCTTACTAGCAAGTACTACCGTATTGATAATTATGCTGACTAGCAGGCCACAGTACAAGAGTTAAGAAATAAAAAGTAGTTTGATTTTAACGTTAGGCAATACAAAAAATTTATCCAAAGCTTTCACATATTGAAATATTTAAATTAATTTTTAAAAATTTAACCATTGTTACAACTTGCCAATCGTTGAAAACAGTTTCAAAAGATATGTGTATAGATAGTGTTTTGTTTTTATTTTTAAATTTTTTTTTAGCTAGTTTCAGTCAAATTAGTTTATTTTTTTAGCTAGTTTCTGTCAAATTTGATTATTTTTTAGCTAGTTTCAGTCAAATTAGTTTATTTTTTTGGCTAGTTTCTGTCAAATTTTATTATTTTTTTAGCTAGTTTCATTCAAATTTTATTATTTTTTTAGCTAGTTTCAGTCAAATTTTTTTAGACTATCACTGCTTTTTCTTTTTAAAAAAAAAAAAATCACAGATTCTCCGCTAATCACAAAAACCACAAGCCTTGCACACACATCCATCAGTGGCTCTCTCAAAAATGAACTGTCACTGTCACTGCTATTATGAACACCATCAACCAATCCTTCAATGTGAATGCTTGCTTCAGTCAATGAGTAGCTGCACATAAGGCTCTGTAGTTGGCTCAGTTCAGCCTTGCGTCTGTCGCCTCCCATTACTGTACTTCATTCTTGTCTTCTACGATTTGCTCTTTGTTACTTCAAGTCCCAGGAAACAGTCGCCCTACTTCCTGACCTCTGCCCACAACCTCCTTAATCTCTACAAGATCTTTTTTTTGTTGTTAAAATCATAGCCTAATCCAAATTAATTTAACTAAGAAACTATTTCCATTGATGACCAGCCAAAAGGAATACTTTTTTTATTTTTTGTTTACTTTCTATTTTCTATTAAGGGTATGACTCAAACTTAGACAAAAGTTCTACAAATAAAATCACTTAAACTATGTTATTTAAAAATTTATATTGCTGCTATTCGGACCCGGGTTCCTTTAGACTAAATGCTATTCGGATGTCATTTGTGGTAGTTTATTTTAGTTAAATTGAAGAAGTAAGTTTACAAACATATATAGTCCATTCAATTATCTTTCATTTGATACCAAGTTTTGTCTTACAAACCCAACAATAATGTTTTAAATATTTTTTAATAAACCTAACCTCTCACTCTTGAATCCCGGGTCCAAATAGCCGCAGCCTTTAAAACTAGAGAAGAGTTACAATGTTTGATATAAATAAATAATGAACATTTTTATTTAAGATGATTTATATTTATTGAGGCAACGTCCCTGTTTTTTTTTAAAAACTTCTCGGCTGTTGTAATTTCTGCTACCTACATGTGAGATTGTATTCAGTTACATGTGTAGAACCTGTATCTTGAACTGCACCCTGATAGTTTCAGATGATGTACTTATGTTCAGTGGTTTATTTCAGATGGTGTACGTGTTCAGTGGTTTATTTCAGATGGTGTATGTGTGTTCAGTGGTTTATTTCAGATGGTGTATGTGTGTTCAGTGGTTTCATTTCAGATGGTGTATGTGTGTTCAGTGGTTTATTTCAGATGATGTACATGTGTTCAGTGGTTTCATTTCAGATGATGTTCGTGTATTGATTGGTTCTATTTCAGATGATGTAAGTGAGTTCAATGGTTTATTTCAGACATAATTTGCTGTGAGTCCAACAGAAGGTTTGGAGATAGCCAGAAGCCAGGATTTACAAACAACCCGGTGTGGACGGCCGAGCAGTTGCCACAGGTAGAAAAAAATTTTCAGACCTTCATTTTTTTTTTTTTATGAGCATCTGGCGCCAGCTGGCAGTTTGACTGCGTCGTCTGCTGGGCTGTTTTTTTTAAAAAGGTGCTTTTTGCCTTTTGATCTGATGTTTTGGGGTGTCCAGATTTTAAGCTAGAAGCCAGGAACTTTTTAGGGATTCTTCTCTTACTTAAATCTCAATTTTAAAAATTGTTTTGCTGTAAGAATGTTATGACCAAACACAATAATGTGAGCTCTGAGGTTCAGGTGACCTATCACTATATACGGAATTGTCACAATAAGGCGAGCTGTGACATTCAGGTGACATATGACTACTATATAGGGAACTGTCACAAAAAGGTTAACTATCACAATGAGATGACCAGTCCATCAGATGTAGGCTACATACAATTGTGTCACTTTGACCAGGGCAGCTTTTCTTCTCTTGATGTGCCCCTCTTTTGTCCACAGCTGCGGCCCTTGTTTGGTGACGTTGACTACCTTGAAGACCAACACATATTGATAGCAGTCAAGGGGGCAGGGGACGATCATGAATCATATGGTGAGAATTATATGTATTACACATAATATATGCTCTACATCAATATGGAATGTCAGAGACTAGGGAATGTCAGAGACTGTGGAAGATCATTGACCATGGAATGTCAGAGATTCAGAAAGGTCACTTTCTGTAGCAACCTTGTCCCACCTAGCCTGGGACATATGCACCAACGGTAAACATCAAAGTTAAGGCCTGGTATATTTTCAAGTTATGAATAATATTAACATACAGTTCTAATCAGAATGCGACAAACAAGTAATAATATTAACATACAGTCTAATCAGATTGTGACAGACATGTGGTAATATTAACATACAGTCTAATCAGATTGTGACAGACGTGTGGTAATATTAACATACAGTCTAATCAGATTGTGACAGACGTGTGGTAATATTAACATACAGTCTAATCAGATTGTGACAGACATGTGGTAAAATTAACATACAGTCTAATCAGATTGTGACAGACATGTGGTAATATTAACATACAGTCTAATCAGATTGTGACAGACAAGTGATAATATTAACATACAGTCTAATCAGATTGTGACAGACGTGTGGTAATACCAACTCTTATGAATGTGGCCCAACTTCATTTCGGTTAAAACTACTCATCCATCTCTCCCACCTTTATTTCTGTTTCATTTACTTACTCTTTCCCTAAAACCTACCTGTCCCTAACACCTACCTGTCCCTAAAACCTACCTGTCCATAAGACCTACCTGTCCATAAGACCTACCTGTCCCTAAGACCTACCTGTCCATAAGACCTGCCTGTCCCTAACACCTACCTGTCCCTAAGACCTGCCTGTCCCTAACACCTACCTGTCCCTAAGACCTACCTGTCCCTAAGACCTACCTGTCAGAATGACTTACCCAACAAGAATGACTAAGCTCGTTCTATTTACTTACCTTTCCCATTTACTGACCTGTACCACTTACTGACCTGTCCCACTTACTGACCTGTCCCAACTGCTTACCTGACACCAACTAACTATCTATCCAACCCTGCAAATCTGTCTCACCTGTCCTGGTGGCAATATTACAGGTGAGTGCGTGATTTCCCTCAAGGATATGTTTACAGGAGAGCCATGTTATTTTGAGGCCACCATGACACACTTTGGTGAGGAGACGGGAAAGTTGAAGTAAGTCAGTTTGCTTATGTTGATAACTTTAGTGTGGTTCTGTTGATAACTTTAGTTTGGCTCTGTTGATAACTTTAGTTTGGCTCTGTTGATAACTTTAGTTTGGTTCTGTTAACTTCAGTTTGGTTCTGTTGATAACTTTAGTTTGGTTCTGTTAACTTCAGTTTGGTTCTGTTGATAACTTCAGTTTGGTTCTGTTGATAACTTTAGTTTGGCTCTGTTGATAACTTTAGTTTGGCTCTGTTGATAACTTTAGTTTGGTTCTGTTGATAACTTTAGTTTGGCTCTGTTGATAACTTTAGTTTGGTTCTGTTGATAACTTTAGTTTGGCACTGTTGATAACTTTAGTTTGGTTCTGTTGATAACTTTAGTTTGGTTCTGTTGATAACTTTAGTTTGGCTCTGTTGATAACTTTAGTTTGGTTCTGTTGATAACTTTAGTTTGGCTCTGTTGATAACTTTAGTTTGGTTCTGTTGATAACTTTAGTTTGGCACTGTTGATAACTTTAGTTTGGTTCTGTTGATAACTTTAGTTTGGTTCTGTTGATAACTTTAGTTTGGCTCTGTTGATAACTTTAGTTTGGTTCTGTTGATAACTTTAGTTTGGCTCTGTTGATAACTTTAGTTTGGCTCTGTTGATAACTTTAGTTTGGCCCTGTTGATAACTTTAGTTTGGTTCTGTTGATAACTTTAGTTTGGCTCTGTTGATAACTTTAGTTTGGCTCTGTTGATAACTTTAGTTTGGCTCTGTTGATAACTTTAGTTTGGCCCTGTTGATAACTTTAGTTTGGCTCTGTTGATAACTTTAGTTTGGCCCTGTTGATAACTTTAGTTTGGCTCTGTTGATAACTTTAGTTTGGTTCTGTTGATAACTTTAGTTTGGCCCTGTTGATAACTTTAGTTTCATTATATACTTGAAAGGGGAACTTACTGTAATATTTTTCTCTTAAGGAAAGTCAAATTAAATTTAATCAGCACTATTGCTACTCTTGAAATATAAAGAAAAAAAAAAAAATATTCATTTGTACTACTATTTTCATATTAAACATTTCTTATGTCAGTGATTTCCAATCACTAATCTCCCAGTATTTTTGGTGGGAACCACAACACCACACAAACACCCCCCACCCCATTAGTAAAAATTGTACAAAATTGACCCAACCCAAATTGACACATCAATAAATAAATTGGAACTAAATTTGAACTTTTTCTCTGTGTCCATTAGACATTGATGTCTATTAATCCTATTAAACTAAAATAGTGTTTCCTTCTCCCCTCCCACAGAGGAGAGTGGTACATATCTACAGGTGCAGCGTCGGGTGGGATGGTCTCCAGAGCCAGCAGGAAAACATACGGTAGGGGCCGATATTCTGTGTTTGTGCTTTGTGTATCGGGGAGATGGTGTTTAGATGGTGTTTAGATGGTGTTTAGATGGTGTTAGTGGTGTCCATGCTGCTTAGTTAGTTGACTTTTAGATAGAGTCAAGTCTGTGGTTCATGGACCCATGGGCCATTTAATCAGGATACATTTTTATTTCAAGGGGATTTGTTGTGGTGGTTGATGGACGGGTCAAGGCTAATTACAATGTGCAATTGGACAAAGTTACAAAATGAAATTAGCATAAGAATGAATACAGATAGAATATGGCCATATATATAATATATATATAATATATATATATATATATATATATATATATATACAAAAGTTCTCTCTGCAATACACTCATCAAAGTGAAAGAATCTTAAATGCAATTTCAGCTGTGAATTGCACGCCTGCATATTTTTGGTTCAGTGATTTTTTTGGGGAAGAGATGGGAACCAACCCCTCACACTCTTCACCCCCTCACCTCTCATGTCGAGTGTTGCTGAATAACTTTCTCTTTCCTTTTCTCCACAGAAATTGTTGCCCTTGACACTGAATATCACGACCCGGAAGAGTTTCTTTCCCTGACACCGCCCTGTGACATCGTTAACGCGGGTGGGACTGCACCGACCTCTGGTGGACTCCTGATGTCACCGTCCACAACATTCACGGTTCACCCTGCGGAAGATGAAAACATAAGCATCCCGACCCACTACGTCAACCACAACGTAATGCGCCGCGCGCCATCTGACCCGGTTCCCGACACTCCCTTGGAGAGCACGATCGATCCACCACCTCTTCCGACAAAACGTGCAAAACCCATCATGGGCCAGTTTGGCATTCAGGGTCCACCGACTGCGGCGAAGCCAACAGACACTTCTAGAAGCTCAGACGGCGTCCTATCTGGGGAAACGGCGTCCGGGGCAGAATTTGGGAACCTTCGTACCAAGTCGAATGGCACGACGGTTCAAGGTGCCACCGGAGGGTCGCCACTAACAGCGCCACATTTGAAAAAAACTGAGTCGGGCTCTCCATCCCCTCCGATTTCTTCCAGGCCAAAGGTCAAAGCCAACATGTACCCGATTCTTGGGTTCAGCCCCACGGTTAAGAAATCCGATTCTGAGTCCCCGCCCATACGGAACTCCCCGCTAGTGTGGCAGGCAAGGATAGAGGGAGATGAGTTTTTCCCATCTCCCAAATCAAAGATTGTCCCATCGGCCCCACCCCTACCTGAGATGGAAGTAAGTTTTCAAAGTTGACCTTTATTTTTTTCCTAGATTTTTTAGGAGACATCCGAGAAGGTACAGAGCCATGTTCACTAAAATAGCAGACATCCCATGTTCACTAAAATAGCAGACATCCCATGTTCACTAAAAAAGCAGACATCCCATGTTCACTAAAATACCAGATATCCTTGTAGGTACAGAGCCATGCTCACTAAAATAGCAGGCATCCCAGTAGGTAAGGAGCCATCTTCCCCAAATAGCAGACATCCCATTGTCACTAAAAGAGCAGACATCCCATTATCTACAGAGCCATGTTCACCACAATAATCCGATCTATAATTATGACAACATCAAGTAGTATAAGTATAAATACAGTTTATTTGGGGTAGGTGGTGGCATTGTATCAATACATTGTATATGTGGTTGCTGGTGGCATTGTATCAATACATTGTATATGTGGTTGCTGGCTTAAGAAGGAAAGTGGGTGGCTGGTAAAATGGCGCCCAGTGACACAGATTGTAGGTATATTACATCAAAAAAGTTTGGCACGGGGAACTGTTAGCCTGTGACCCACACTGGTATGGGACCGTTAGCCTGTGACCCACACTGGTATGTGACCGTTAGCCTGTGACCCACACTGGTATGTTGGGTCCTCCACTCTTATATCCTTGTCCAGGTGAATGGAGACTGTAAACCAAAAAAAACAACTTTGCCCTAACTTAAAAAGTGATCTATTATCTACAGCTTGTTTTCCTTCTTTACAACACAATACTTGGCTTCAAGCTTACAAGATATAACAAAACAATTTTCTCATTTCTAAGTAATCTATGAAACTGAATAATTTGTGAAAAACTTCTGCTGCAAAGTAGACTGCACTCTAGAGATGGCAGACTGTACTCTAGAGATGTGCTCCAAAATCTCCAAAGAAAAGATAAACTTTTGCACACAAAATTTTTTTTTATATTGGAATATTTACGGCAGTCAGAATGTAAGTTTACAGAAAAATATTTTATTATCAGATAAGTACATCTCCAGTAACTGAGGTTTCACAAAAGAAATTAAGTTTTGGCAGATAAAGGACTTGAGATTGTCACAGTTCCGTTATCTTTGTCAAATGGGCACTCTATCTGAAGTACGAGCTTTAAAATGGCAACAATCTCTGCTATGAAAAGCAATGTCTGTGCCTGCTACGGGTAATGAGGTCTGTGCTGTGGGAAATGTCTGTTATAGGGAAAGCTATGTATGCCATAAGAAACTATATGGAGCAAATATCTGTGCTTTGAGCAAAGTTTATATACTGTGAGCAAATTTGTGTGCTGTGAGCAAATGACTGTGCTATGCGAAAGGTACTAGGGGCAAGTGTCTGTGCTAGGTATAGGAAACAATGTTTGTGCTTGCTATGGGAAAAAATACTGGTGTTTGGTATTGGCAACAATATCTGTGTGGTTCTACAGGCACTGATCAATGTTCTATTGGAAAAAGGATGCCAATGCTTTATAAAACAAATGTCTTTACTACGGAAAATGATGAATGGTCTATGCAAAATGATGAATGTTGTATGGGAAACAATCCTGGCATTCATCCCTCTCTCTCTTTCACTCCAAGACCTTTTTCCTGACTACCCCCACCCCCCCCCCCCCCCCCCACTTTTTTCCCGACTCCCCCCCCCCCCCCCCCACTAATCCACCTATTGAACCTATCCTTCCTACTAACACATTTATTTTTTTGTAATCAAACAGAATATCTACCCATCCATTGCCATACGTCCTTACGAAGAGCTGAAAAAGCCCACTTCAGTACAGGAATGGCTCAAGGGTCTGGGACTGTCAGAATACACGTCAACTTTCTTACGCAACGGCTGGGATTCTATGGGCACACTGGCCCATCTTACAGCAGCCCATATCATGAAGCTGGGCATACGTGATGCTGAGCATTGGCAGAGAATTTTAAACAGTGTACGTGAGTTGAAAGGCCAAACGCCATGAGAAAAAAAAACAATATACAGTTGCAAGGAGAGAAAATGACAGCTTCTGTTATTGACTCTAGGAGTTGCAAGGGGGAGAAAAGGACAGCTTCTGTCTTTGACTCTAGGAGTCACAAGGAGAAAAAATGACATTGCGTCTGTCAGTGACCCTAGGAGATGAGAGGCAACAAGAGGGTCGCCATGAGAATGAAGAGACTGCTGTTGTTTAAATCTGTGTATTCCATATTTTGAGCTCACCCTGGACATGGAAAGTGAAGAAAGACAATCTCTCTACACTAATTTCATAAACATCATGTGCGGTGCGCTCAGCATGGTACTACGCTAGTCATTTAGATCATGTACAATGTGCTCAGCAAGGTACTACACTACAGTCATATAGATCATGTATGGTGTGCTCAGCAAGGTACTACACTACATTCATATAGATCATGTATGGTGTGCTCAGCAAGGTACTACACTACATTCATATAGATCATACACAACGTGCTCAGCAAGGTACTACACTAAATTCATACTGATCATACATGATGTGCTCGGCAAGGTACTTTCACCATATAGAAGATTTCTTTAACTTGTTCACCAATAACAATGCAGCTTGACAGAACAGCCGATTGAAGTTTTTGTACAAACCTCGGGAAAAGCTGTGTTATCGCCACACCCGCACTTGAACCTTGAAGATATTGATCTTTTTATTATTCCTTTTTTGCTGTCTCGATTGGAGGAAATGTTGTCCTAAAATGTCATCAAAGGGTTTCCCCTAACTGGATCACTTGAGATGTGACACTTTCACAGTGTGATGAGAAACATAAGATGCGGTCAGGTCCAGACATAATAAGGCACAAGAGATCTGGTCCGGGTCAAGTTGTAGTGAGATGTGATTTAGTGTTGTCATGTCAAGATGAAATGAAGCACACTGGTATCTGGTCCAGTCAGGATGTAACAACACACATGAGCTCTGTGCAGCTTCTCACTGGGCCAGCTGCATACCTACCTGGTTGTTGTACTTGGTCTACAGTGTACCACATTTAGAAGTACTGTCCACTCTATAGGACCTACCAGTCGTTGATGGCATAAGACCTACACTTTAGTGGGCACTCTGGTCCTATCCATGATTCGCCCATCTGTGCTCTACATATGAACTGGCTCTTTTGGTCTATCTAAATTTCAAAAGCATTAGCTCCGTTTTGAAACCACTGTTTTTCTCATCTTCAACTTGTTCAGTATTTCATTATCATTCTCTCAAATGTTATTCAAACATTATTTTTTAATATAATTATCACATTATGTGTAAGGCCGTGAGCTTAACTATATTTTTCAGGCTACATTACTTTTCTCTACATTACTTTTCACTACATTAATTTTTCTCTACATTATTTTTCACTACTGTTATCTGCTTATGCATTATAATGTGCTCCTCAAAAGCAATACTATTGATGTGGCACCATCAGATGTGTGAAAAGAATGAAAGGATCTGCTCTATGTTCCTCTAAATGGTTTGCTGATCCATGCCAAGAAGGAGTTGTTTGAGTTTCCGTGAAGCAGCCTCTTGACATGTTTAGGCAACACAGATGGATACTTTGTCAACTGTGCTCACCTCATGCTCACAGTGCTTGTGAAGGAAGGGAGAATGACAGAGAGAGAGACTGGAAGGAAGACATAATAACATTGTAGAAATTCCACAAACACACTCATTTAGTGGAATGTAACCACAATGATCTGTACCCACAATGATTTGTACCCACAAGGATTTGTACTCAGGAAACTGATGACGAGCACCATCAACGTTGAGTTACTTTTATTTTTTTTTTCAAAAAAAAACCCAACCAATCAAAACTAACATAACAAAACCAGGCTCTAACTAAAATATGTTTGTGTTTTTTTTCCGGTTGCCTGAAAACCACGGTGCCACATTTTTTATAAGAACAAACAAACTTATTATTTTTACATTTTAAACAGGTTTTTTATCTTCCTTCTTTTAATTGCTTTAGAGTGTGGCTATGATTATTGATCTTAACCGGCACAAGTTTGTCTACATCACTGTTGTCAGTTTTTAATAAGGTTGACTCAATTTGTTAAAAACATAAATAAAATTTGATACACTCATGTATTGTAGAACAAGGGTCTAGGGCACCATGTAGCTCGACTAAGCCAGTAGGAAGTTCCATTTATGCCCTTACATATAGAGCTTATTTTTTTAACAGCCCACAAACTCTGGGGACTGTCATTATGACAACAATGTTAGGAATGCTGCCTTTTCAGGGCATCCAATTAATTAATCACCGGTTGCCCGCAATTAGAGTGCACTGCTTTTTTTTTTTTTTCAGGGCATCTAATAAATCACCTGGTGTTCACAATTTGAAATTCCTTTGATTAAATGTAATTGATCAGGGATAGATTTCTGATCACTACTACTAGGTACTCCATTGTACTTGGTCCTCACATTCCAGATTGGAGATGCACTCCTAATTCATTAATTCACTCCCCCCCCCCCCCACACACACACACACACACACATTCACACACAACCATTCGTCTTTAGGGCCAGCATCCTGAAAGGATCAGGGGGAATGAACCCTTTCAACGTCTCAAATTGTATCTGATTTTGTGATCCGTGATTTTGATATGACTTCAAAGATGTAAATGTATTTTTTAATTTATTATTTAATGTTCTTTCAATGAGTGCCAAATTATTTCCAGATGTGTTCAAACAAAACCAGAGCACCAGCGCTGCTCCGTTAAAATCAAAGTTTTTTTTTTACCGTATTTTCCGGCGTATAAGACCACTTTTTAACCCATGAAAATCTTTTCAAAAGTCGGGGGTCGTCTTATATGCCGGGTGTCGTCTTATGAGCTGGTGTACAGCCAAACCCTGGATTTTAACAGGAAAAGTAAGGGGGCCGTCTTATACGCCGGAAAATATGGTATTTGTTTCAATCACCAGCTTTATCACATTCAATCATCTCTTTCCTTGTCTTCAATCACTATTCCATCACATTCAATCATTCTTTCCTTCTCTTCAATCACTACCCAATCACATCCAATCATTATTTCCTTGGTTTCAATCCCATTGTCATTTTGTAGAATCGTTAGCTGTTAAATGTCAATTGCCTGGAAAATATTTGTCATAATTTGTTGGTTTATCCATGACATCCTTACTTCAATGTTCAGTGTATTTGATGGTCATCTCTTGTTGACTTGCCATAGGCGAAGATGTCTGCCCCAGTGTATTTGATGGTCATCTCTTGTTGACTTGCCATAGGCCAAGATGTCTGCCCCAATAGAACAATAGAAATGTATTCTTATCATCTGACAGCTCAAGCTTTGACACTGCTCGTCAATGAATAATCTATGGCTTTCTTGTGTACATTTTTGGGGTATCCTTAATAGTATATAGGGTCATAGGGCACAGGCACACTGAGGGGAACATAGGGACTTATCATTGGGCAGTGGTAGATCCAGGGTACATGGGGCACTGGTAGTTAGACTGAGGGGAACATAGGGACTTATCACTGGGCAGTGGTAGATCCAGGGTACATGGGGCACTGGTAGTTAGACTGAGGGGAACATAGGGACTTATCATTGGGCAGTGGTAGATCCAGGGCACATGGGGCGCTGGTAGCTAGACTGAGGGGAACATAGGGACTTATCACTGGGCAGTGGTAGATCCAGGGTACATGGGGCACTGGTAGTTAGACTGAGGGGAACATAGGGACTTATCACTGGGCAGTGGTAGTTCCAGGGTACATGGGGCTCTGGTAGTTAGACTGAGGGAACATAGGGACTTATCATTGGGCAGTGGTAGATCCAGGGTACATGGGGCACTGGTAGTTAGACTGAGGGGAACATAGGGACTTATCACTGGGCAGTGGTAGATCCAGGGTACATGGGGCACTGGTAGTTAGACTGAGGGGAACATAGGGACTTATCATTGGGCAGTGATAGATCCAGGGTACATGGGGCACTGGTAGTTAGACTGAGGGGAACATAGGGACTTATCATTGGGCAGTGATAGATCCAGGGTACATGGGGCTCTGGTAGTTAGACTAAGGGGAACATAGGGACTCATCACTGGGCAGTGGTAGATCCAGGGTACATGGGGCTCTGTACTTTACATGGGGCAGTGGTAGATCCAGGTTATGATTAAGTCATGCTATCCCTTATGTCTGAGGTGTTTCTAACAATATCTGAGTCTAAACTTTCATTATATTGCTTTTTACATCTGAAATTTGACAGGTTTGCAATGGCGATACAGTATAACCTGGTCTGAGAACACAGGAGTTGGGTCCACAGACGTGATACATGATTATTTTTTTTTTATTGTACTTTTTTTTTTTAAATTTCAGTGAACCCTCCCATCTGGTCAAAACGTTCACGGTTGGTTGGAGGTCAGATTGTAAAGTTTTCCCAAAAGTTGAGAGATGGAGAAATGATATTTCAGCAGCTAAATATGAATGTCTGCCTTACTTGTCAATAAACTGAAATTTTGTTTGCTGATATGCCCCATTTTGTTGTGATGTTTATTAAGGAAGTGGCCATTGGTGCAGAGCTGACAAGAACGAAAAAAAAAAAATGTATGAATTCATAAGACAATACCAGTGAAACGATAAAATAAGTTATATCTGGGAAATTATAAAAAAAATAACACTTATGCAATCATCAAAAAATATCATTGACAATGAAAAAATAAACAGTTATCTCTGAAATCATAATGATAAAGCGATATGAATAAGTTTTAAGAAAATTTAAAACCTATCTAAATCTCTGTGCCTTAAATGCTAGCTTAGAACAGAAGATGCAGCAATTACTCGATCGTTTTGCTCAGGACTGAAAAAAAATATTTTACTAGTCAACTCATGGAAATTGTTACAAAGAGCATCACATTCTGGTGAAGAGATATATTCTCCAGGCATTAGAGAAGAAAATATATTTAGGTAGATCCCTCTCGCGGTCAGCAACAATAGATGATGAGATTGCTAAAGAAAATGTCGCAGGTATTTGAGAAGACTCCGCTAGAGCGAAGAGAGACAGAGTCTTATCGCCATTAAGCTGAAGACAGACGTGGCACTCCAATCCAGCTCAGCTGGTAGTACCTAGTGGAGCCAATTCTGCTTTTCCTTAGATGTGCGGTACGGTATCTTTAAAGTTTGTGCCCTCAACAGTGAGTGTGCCTCGCCAGTCTGCGCCCCAACAGTGAGTGTGCCTCGCTAGCCTGCGCCCAACAGTGAGTGTGCCTCGCCAGTCTGCGCCCCAACAGTGAGTGTGCCTCGCGAGCCTGCGCCCCAACTCACTCACACGGAGCGGTCGGACGCGGGGTTGTCACTCACACGGAGGCCAGTCTGCGCCCCAACAGTGAGTGTGCCTCGCGAGCCTGCGCCCCAACAGTGAGTGTGCCTCGCTAGCCTGCGCCTAACAGCGAGTGTGCCTCGCCAGTCTGTGCCCCAACAGAGAGTGTTCCCCGCCAGCTCACGAGAGCCAACGCAAGGGTTCCCCACGAGTTCGCGTCGATGTCCACGGAAGCAGGACATTGGTTTAGTACCTTACCTTGGGTAAAGAGGGCATTGAAAAAAGTTTTGCGTCACGTGTTTCCCAAAATGATATTTTTTTTTGGTGATTACACGAAATGGGGCACTATTTTGAAGAAAAAATCCTGATGTCATTTAAGGTTTAATTATTATTCTTTTAATTATGTAATTTAATGTGTGCCAAGTTTCAGCTAGATCGCTTGACGGGTAATGGGTCACTTAGCCGTCCAAAGATTTTGCCACCCGCGAGTCAAAAAAACGAAGTTAATGTAAATGATTTGAAAAAAGGGCGGTCTAGCAGCGAAACGCAAATGAGAAACTTTCGGTCGTGGCATCATCATCATGGTTTCGGTCGGTCTTTCTTGGGTGGGAAAAAACTACCGTGTAGTTTTCGTGGACCTTAGAGCGAACATGACTGTGAGCTGTATTGTGAACACATCCCTTAGGGACGAGGGTTACTTCTGGATACTCTCGAGTCAGATGTAAGCGTCACAACTGGCCACTGCAACAGGCCGGCCGGAGCTCAATCACTCGTGGCAAGGGGGAACAAAAAACAACTATTAACGTTCTTCATCGGGAGAATGTAACCTTCATTGAAACAGACATGTGGCCCCGAAATAGCTTGGACCTACACCCTGTAGGCCAGGCCTGCGCAACTCAAAATATAAGGCGGCCGTAAAATACTTTATGAAAAACTTGTGCGGGCCGAAATAAAATTGGACAGGGGGAAAAGCTGTTAAGAAAATAATAATAATTAAGAATATTTCGTTAATTTAACACAAAAAAAAAAATTAATGTGACGTGACACATTGGATCGTTTTGACGGTAACATGTTTGCCGTATACAGGAGATATATTGGAAGCGGCGGTTCTCAAAATGTCTTCCAAATGATCATCACTCAAACATGAGCGTTGCTTGCATTTATTAATGCTCATTAATGAAAATGTCTGTTCACAAAGATAAGTTGTTCCAAAATAGGCTACCGGTACAAGTTTTTAATGCAACCTCCTAAAGATTTTTGTACTTCTCATGGTCAAGATTGTTAAATGGAAAGGAAACACGTAGTGAATATTTACACAACGATAAATATTTAGTTATTTAATGTTGTATAAAAATAAAATAACAAAAACATTTTAAGCAAAGGATATACGTGAGGAAAAAATCTAAAAAAATAATACATTTATTATTTTAAAAAATAAATAAATACATATACATATATATATATATATATATATATA